ACGAATCTGGCATCTTGTGAACAGAGTGCATTTTTCGTATCGGATTGCTCAGCGAATCTGGTATCGTGTGAACAGGGCCTATATATCTGTAATTCTTGTTAACTTCCTTATTAGTCTGAAGATGTCTTGTGTCAAGAGGAAACGTCACTATTTTAATAAATTTCACAAAACCAAATTGTTTATGATTGTGTTCAAAATTATTTGTTGAGCTCTAATATTTATATCGAGAATCCGTTTCTCGCCTGGCACTTCATTGGCAACAATAAAGAAACAGGTGTTAAAGTTAGTTAAAGTCAGTATCGATTTCTTAAAGATCTTATGTTAAGTTTTCAAATAATTGTTGACATATTAGCGCTTTGGTCTGAAGCTATATCGACTAAAATAATAATTATCATGTTAATGCCATGGAAAACGAACCAAACGGGCAAACGATAAATATGTCGCCATTTTTAAAGTGGAAATTCGAGCGTGCATTTAATGACGTTTTACAGCAGCTCAAAATTACTACAACAAAAACAGTGTGAACGGGGCATTAAACTCTCAGTATTTAATAATAAAGAATAATAATGATTAACAATAATGATTAATAATAATGAATGCGGAGAAAAAAGTCTTCACTCACCTTCAAACAAATCAGCATAAGTTAATTCAATGTTGGAGACCATGTTGCAGCAAAACATTGATTACTGTGAGTCGAACATAAAAGTTGTCAGAGAAACACATCAATGTATATGGCAGCATGCGTTACGAGGGAAAAATGAGTGAAGTACAGTTGCAATATACCACAGTGAAGGAACTCGAGTAAGGGGCGTGTCAATCAGTTTGATTATTAAAGTAAAGAATAATAATTTACCTATTTTATCTTCTAAGTTTAACGCAAAGCATTTAACATGATATATGATGCGATGAGAACTTTTCCACATTCACTTTTAAGTTTTTCTTAATCTTAACGTATTTATAAGATGGACGAAAAGGAAATAATTGCTGGCAATGACAGAAGAGGGTAAGAGTCTTTATTCTGACAATACAATACAATACAATGACGTTTCCAATCAACAATTAGTTCATTAATTCACAATGACAATACACATTTCCTGTACACACAATACAATGACGGCTAACCGTCAGGTGGTTTACTGCTCATTTGAAGTCTGAAGATGACTACCGCTAAGGTGGTCGAAACGTCAGTCAACAACAACAAAAACAGTCCTTCTCAGGACTTTATTAACCTGGACGATCATCATTTACAAACATATAACGATACTCCCGGGTTCAAACCATTTACTTTAATACATGTTATTTGTCACTTTGCAAAATACCGTTAATAAATTTGCAAATACTTTTGATTGGATGAATCAAAAACGTCACATCCAATTATCAAATTACCCGCACACGAGAGCAACTTGCTTACGCCACTTGGCAAGAATGACATTTTGCTGAGATCATAGCTCTCGTGTGCGCCGGGCTTTACAAGATCAAGTATTTGAAGTCATTGGCGATTAAATTTGGTTATGATTTCGATACAATTTTTTTTCTGTTTGGGCTATTTTCTTTTATTTTCTCACTTTGATCGACAAGGCAAAAAGGTTTAACGCAATTCTAGAATAGTGCAAAATTTAATTACGTTTTGTCTCCATTAAATATAAAACCCCGACTGGTTTGAAGTAGATTGCATGTAGGTCCAAAATCATTTCATTCACACATTTGAAGAATATCAATTGTAAAATAATGAGAAAGAAAGATATTTCCGTCACACATTTAAGTCTCATCTTCCGATGCAAAACAAGCAAATATTTCACAATAGCATGATATCACGAATGATTCAGACTTCTAATTGTAAAACTGTCGAACGAAAACTTCGGCATGCAAAAGACGCCCAATGGCATTGAAATATTACAGCAAGCGAAACGATTCACTTAGTTTATTGGTTAAAGATTTTATTGTTTTTTGTATATGAAGTCAGTGTAGAGACTGGAGATGTCCTTGGTGGAGGAACTGATGCCAAGGTTTACATGACTCTATTTGGCGCCAAAGGAACAACACCAAAGGTTTTACTTAAAAACAGGTACATGACCTTTGACTTGATTCTATAGAATTTCTTCTTGAGGCTAAGATTCTTTAAATATTGTCAATGTTTTATCAATATGATTTGATCTTATTTTTACAATCATTAAAAATCTGAATTTGAAACAAGTCAACATGTTTTTTAACCTTTTAAAAATCTATGAACGGGTCTACAATGAACGAACAATGTTTGATGTTGGAGAAGTGAAACGAACGTATGTGTAATTACACTCATAAAGCCAGAACCTCTATCCGAATGTATGTAAGCAGGCATACCGAAAATCGAAAACAATTCGCAGAGACAATTTATAATTGACTCCGCGCTAACGTCTTTACAAGCGAAAGCAAAAGGAAATCTTGAATATTCATCTATTATAGTAAGAAGAAACTTATTATGATTAGTCGTCGGCAATGGTCCTTTGAAGTCCAAACTAAGTCTCTCGAAGGGTTGAGTCGCTTTTACTAAATGGAAATGTTCTGTTTTGTAATATTGAGGCTTACTTTCCCTGCATATCTTGCAGGACTGTGTCATGAGCTTAATTTCATCAATAGAGAAAGGGAGATTACGGTTTTTTTACAAAATGTGCCATCCGCGTTATTCCTGGGTGACACAAGGATTCATGAAACTCTATCAGCTTATCGGAGGTCATGCTCATTGCTCTTATCCTAGAAAATGTATCCGCTGGTACATTCTCTTCTCCTGCTCTGTAGATTATATCAAAATCATAAGTGGATAGTTCCATCCTCCATCTCATTATCTTATCGTTCTTAATGTTGCTCTTTTGCTTGGTATCAAACATGTAAGCTACTGACTTCTGATCAGTAATTAACATAAAATGCTTACCCGTAAGGTAGTGTCTCCACTTCCTCACGGCTTCTACGATAGCCGCTGCTTCTTTCTCCACTGAAGCGTGCTTAAGTTCTGATCCACTTAACGTCCTCGAAAAGAACGCAACTGGGCGACCGTTTTGGTTGAGAGTGGCTGAAAGAGCAAACTCGGAAGCGTCTGTTTCCACCTGAAAGGGCTGTGCTTCGTCAACAGCTTGGACCACAGATTTTTCGACATCGGACTTAAGTAGATTAAACGAAGTAAGAGCATCGCCAACCATTGGAAATACAGCGAGAAACGCGAGAAACTTAAGGAGGAAACTTATAAAATAAAGTGTCAATCTTGTGTAAATTGGTTTCATATTTATAATAGTTTTGTTCATATGGGATTTTTACTCATGGCAGTTGAAAATTTGCAATGCCTGACTATACTATGGTGAATTTTAGTTCTTCGAACTTTGGTCTTGTTTTGACTTAAGTCTTAATTGCTATCATACGAATTTTTTCACTACTAGAATTCATATTTTGGTTATCTGATTATGTCATTTAAGCACATTGTTGTATTTTCTCGCTTGTTCCCACCACTGAATCCTGTGTCTGGTCCAGTGAACTCCATATATATATATATCTGGAATGATAACGACAATACATTTTATAGATAAAAAGTTGAAGCCAAAGTCCTAGTCTCTTGCGCGGTTTGTACGTCAGTTCCAGTCCTTGAAAGTCGAATATTCACGCGGTTTGTACGTCAGTATCATTCCCCTGAGTGCCAAACATACGCGGCCAATATAAATTTGAATACAAATTTCGAAAGCATAAACATATAAACAACATCACTACAAACAACACACCAGGCTAACTCCTCGCAAAAGGCTATTTTTTACAGCTGAAACTTTACTACAGTGAGCTCGTTGTAACTTACAACTTGTAACGAGGAAAAGCCAACTGAAAATTACACTGTATGCTAAAAAGACAATAAAATAAGAAAATATGACGAGAAAATATTCAAGCAAAAATTTTTCTTACATCGGAAGGTAATTTTTCAAACGGTGTCAGACAGTGTTTGTCTTTTTTTGTCATTTCAGTGGACTTAAAGATCTTTTTTTCCGAATAAAAAAGAAACTTGAATATCCAGTTTAATAAAAAATATTGAGTCTATAACTCGCATTTTTACTTTTTACAGAGCCATTGTATTTTTCATCGATTTTGATAGTGCTTGAAACTTGAAATACTAAATGGTTGTCATCTCTATATCAACAATTGAATATCCTTAAAGACTTTGATATGTTTTAAAGGAAAACCGCAGCGTAAGAGCAGATCGACTAAGTTCACCTCATCTTGCTTCTCGATTTATCACTTTGATTCACTTTCCGTGAACCTTTTCATTCCAAAAAATTCGTTATTTTTACGCTCTGATCAAGATCCGAACTCTACCATTACCAAGGGACAAATGATTTAAAAAAATTAAAATGAACATGCGAGAGACTAGAGCCTGACGTGTGATGACAAATGATGACGACAAATATTTTTTTGGCTTCAATTTTTGGCTTCGGTTATCATTCCAGTTATTCAAATGTCGAGTTCACTGGTCTGGTCTTGTCTCCGTCTCTCCACTGACCGTAAATGATCATTGCTGCAATTTTATCGAAACACCCCCCGTGTTCTTCTATTGTTATTTTTATTCGTGAATGCTACGAAAGGTTAGCACTATTTTCCACCCAGCAAACCGCCCTTTACTTTGAAATATAATATTTTACACAATATAATATTTTACACAATCTAATATTTTACACAATATAGATTATAAGTTTATAACTTAAGGTGGTTGCATGAAAATTTATACTGCAACATTTATCTGTAAATATTTTCATATGTTGATATTAAAAACTGTATTATAAAAATATAAAATTACTCGCCATCTCAAAACGACCTTGCACCAGTGCATGCATGGTTTCCTTTTAGCTTTTGGTTCTTTCCCATTAGCCGCCATCTTTAATTTATTTCCGATTGTGTAAAGTAAAGGGCAGTTTGCTGGGTGGAAAATAGTGCTAACCGCTACGAAATGGCACAAACAAATTTGTCGCGTGACGTTACGATTCATCGAGACTCGAGAGCCGAGAGGTAAGAAGACAGAAAATGGCGGCTATGCGAGAAACAATGTGTTATTTTACATAATATTTCATCTTCACCCTATCTTGTAAGAAATTGTGCCATGCAACACAACGAGAAAGGAGGCTAATTTCTTAGCGTTACTTAAATTTTAAAGATTTGGTTTTATCGCTTATTCGAGGATTGGGTTAATTTCAACGATACAACTCTGATCTTGCCTTGTCGAAAATGGACGACTATCCAGAACTAAATAGTCTATTGTCAATGGTACAACAAAACGATACACACAAGAAAATTATGGCCAGCGAAGAGTTGAAGAAGTATCTGAGTAATCCTCTAAGTCCGCTTACTGCTGATGCGATCGATTGCCTTGTCGACAACTTTAAAATATGGATAAACAGTGGAAATTATAAGGTTTGTCAACTCTACCATTTATAAATTTTAAAATTTTTATGTTGCGGCAATTATTGATTCTTGTCCTGTCGTTTTACTCACTATCACAAACAATGTTTTTCGCTCGAAAGCTCTAGAAATCCATTATTTATAGTTAATTTTGTATGGCTCTCTGTTGGAATAATTATAATTTTTATATTGAGACGAATGTTTGCTTTATAAGCATTTTCGTTTTATTGAATTGATACTTTTATCATTTATTAAACCGTAGCTTTCTTGTAGCTTCACTGATATTTTTGTTTAAATGAGCATCGCAGTAATAAGAAATAACTTGTGCAACTCATGTGATAGTATAATTCACATCTTAGTTTTATATGATTTTGAAACAAAAATGAAATAATTTGGTTACATGTGTTATTAATAGCAACGTAGGAACCTTAAAATGGTTGTGTGATTTTACATGACATTCCATCAAAAGCCGTACGAGACATTGAAGTACAAATGAACCATTTCCACATGAAATTAACTTTGAAACCGTGAAAGTTGCTGTGTTAAATGAAATTAATTGCTTGGTGCAGAAATTTCTTCAAACATCTTTTGTTTTTAATATAGAGAGTCATTCAAACTTTACTAATATGTTGTATTTATAAATGTTTTACCCTTTTTCATATAAATTATAAATTTATGCAAAATTGTGATATGGTGGTTTTCCATTATACTATTTTCGGTGATACACATCAATTGCGACATAAACTTATCTTTATATATTATTGGCAGAGCTCAAAATAATTGCTGGTTGTAGGGCAATGATCTGCTGAAAATGCTTGTAGACTGACCAAATTTTTACCTTGATAATCATTTTGACCAACCACATTTTTATGTTTTTCCCAAAAGTACTATGGAATAGGCATGCAATCCATAGTAAGATCTCAAGAAATTAAAACATCAAAAATGATAATTTGTTGTCTCAAATTATTTTTTAACGTTCTTTGATACAATTTATGCATGAATTGAATGGTTTAAACGTTTTGTGAGTATTTTTACATGCATGTTTGTAGATGTAAAACGTCCTGGTTAGTGTAGTCCTTACAAGCACTGTTGGTGTTGGTGTTAACTGACAATTCAACAACTTTAGCAATAGTCATCTTTAGAATCAAGCAAGGACTACAAGTGCAAGTTACTTCTCACTTTACTCTGAAGGTGACTACCATTGTGTTGTTGAAACCTCAGTCAATACGAATGTGAACAGCTCTCAGGACACCATTAACCAGAATGGTCTACACCTAAAATAAGCAATTTATGAGTATTGGTGACTGGTCAAAAATCGTAATACATCATGACAGAAGGCATTTTGTCTGTTATTTTGAGCCCTGATTATTAGACAAAATTATGTAATACCAACTTAATTCTCGCTGACATGGCACGGGATAGATTTAGAGGGAGCATGCACAATGAGGTAGCCTTGGCAGGGGGTTTTGCCGGAGGGGTGCATATGATAATAAAAAGGTAACAGAAGTTTACCAAGAAAAATCTGTCATGCTATAGTAACAAATAGCAATTGACATACAATCCAAACTAGAAGATCCATCGCTTACGTGGCTCATGTAAACAAACTACACTTTAATTTTATTATTTCTTTATGCAATTTTACGAACAAAATAGAAATATTTATTATCAAAGAATAGTGTTTTTATGAATTTTTACAACTCTCTGCTTCCATTAGATCAGTGCTAGTGGTTTGGAATTATTTACAATTCTTATTAGAAGAGGTGGAAAATCTGTAAAATTGAATTTGAATAAAGGTAAGTATGGATTAGTGCATAACAAATAAAAGCTATTTTTTAGTATACCTTTACTATTGTCCTTGTTATCTTGTGTTAATAGTTGTCCCTATAATCATTGATCGCCTTGGTGATAGCAAAGCAGTGGTATGTTATAACTTATGTGATACCTTTTCTTACCGAATGGCGAATGATAACTTTTAAGAAAGTCTTTAAGAAACACTACCAGTTATACAGGGTGTAACAAAAATTACACTACACAAAGTATTAATACGATTACACACAAGGGAATTCAATGATATTTTGTTTATATGAATTCAAACAAATAGCCTATGATTGAACTTCCTTGATTGTAGTCATTATGATTAGCAGATTTTTATGAACAATGAAATAATCTCTATTTATGGTGTCACTTTTTTGGGGGGTATACTTTGTACTGTATTTATAACATAACATAATTTCAACCATATAGGTTCGAGAAAATTCGCGATCATTCCTTCAGGAACTAATGCACTCATTCACCCCTCAGGTGCGTAAAACATTTCTTGTTGTGTGTATTGTAAATAATTGGCTCAACTAGTTTAATATTTACTCTGTTATTAGTCATCATGATACATTGCTTTTTTTGCTGAAAATTACCAACATGTTTAACAAATTTATATGAAAATGAAGAATTTGTCATAGTGACTAATTTAAATATTACGTTGAAAAGTTCAATTGCTATGGTGAATGGCCAATAATTTGATTACTAAACTGATGCTAGAAATGCAAAGAGTTGAAAATTATACAATGTTAAAGTGAAACAAAGACACTATTAAAAATTTAAGATGCACTTTCATGCTATATGCATAGTAGTTGAAAATGTGCTGTTTTTCAGGTTGTATTAGATTTGTTGATACCAGCATTTTCTCATAAAGGCTTTAAAGTTCGTGAAGAAGTTATGACATGTTTCATGGATTCAATCAATGTGTAAGAAAGTTTGTCTTTATTGTTTTACACATGTCACAGTAACATAATCGAAACTTGTTGTTTGGATTTTACGTCGCTATGTGCATTAAGGATGTTGTACTTAGTTTTTGTGATGCATTAAGGATGTGAACTGTATGTGGACAGTTTTTGCTGATTGCGAAGGTTTAGTAAGATGTAGATCAACAGAAACATAGTTTAAATGGGAAAAAATTGATGTAACCTGTAGCGAACACATATGTATATAGTAGTTGTTTTGTTTCGTCTTGCTACAAGGTCTCTGTATTCAACACTAAAAAGGTATTAACATGTTTATCAAAACAAATGGTTAACATTTCATGTATTTCTCTATCTTTTATTTTTATATCAGATTTGGTGTAACCAATTTGTCTATATCAAAGTTCACCCCTCATATATGCAAATTATTGGGTGATGCCAACAGTCAGGTACGTATATTGTTGTACATACTACTCATATTTCATAGCTTGTCATTATAATGTAGTTACATTCCAATCTAAAACTTTTGTATACATTTTACTCTTGCTGATGCCGACTGTTTGTTCGCCGTAAGAAAAATGTTGTCGCATATAAATTATAACATTTCTGTGTTTTTTACATATGATTTTGATGCAACCATTAATGGAATTTTAAAATTAGCGTCGGTTGAATGATTTTTTAATGAACCGTTAATGTGCTCTTTCTATTCACTAAAGGTGCGGGATAATGCCATTCGTACTCTTGTTGAAATATATCGACATGTTGGTGAAAAAGTTCGCATTGATTTAAGTAAAAGAGGAATTCCACCTACAAGGTATACAGTTGTCACCATTTTCAATTTATTCGTCAATAAAGGTCTCGTATTATTTCAAAATCAAGCAAAAACTATATCAACAACGAGTTTTATTGCAAATTAATTATGTAATTTCTTATGAAACGGGATGAGGCACAAACCCAATTTGATTAACATGTGTCTTTTTTACGACCTCTTATTGGTTCTTTGACGAGTATTTGAATATATTGCACTTAAAGAAAATTATCGTATTTCAACGCCTATAATTTGTTTTCGAAACAAAATTTTGCAGCAATCGTTTTGTGGTGCATAATTGGTCTAAACTAAATTATAAATTGTAAATAATCACTTAGCTTGATAATGACTTTGAAATAAATTTGAGATATTGCTTTTAAATCGCGTCTCTTAATAACTTAAATTTTGAGTTTGCATGATGATGTTTTTGGAGTGTGTTTTACTAATTAATTTTCCGAATTGTCAGCTGGAAAAGGTTTTTCAAAGAAATTGTCGAGCAGAAGATTTATAATGTTTAAGAAGAAATTTAGACAGTGTGCATTTGGAGTATAATTTTTATTTTCTGATTTTTTTATCGGTAGACTTTCATTGATCAACTCAAAATTTGATGAAGTGTTAAAGTCTGGTACTATGATTGCTTCGGCTACGGACGGTAGGATTCGTATAATTTGATCGATAATTTTTATGCAAACTATATCCATCATTGCATTAAACATGTACACGCAAGTGTGTGTTTGGTAAACAATATCAATCATTGCACCTAAGCATCATTTATGTACACGCAAGTGTGTGTGGTAAACAATATCAATCATTGCACCTAAGCATCATTTATGTACACGCAAGTGTGTTTGGTAAACAATATCAATCATTGCACCTAAGCATCATTTATGTACACGCAAGTGTGTGTGGTAAACAATTTCTGTCATTTCACCTAAACATCATTTATGTACATGCAAGTGTGTGTTTGGTAAACAATATCAATCATTGCACCTAAACATCATTTATGTACACGCAAGTGTGTGTGGTAAACAATTTCTGTCATTTCTCAAATCATCGCATCAAATTATAAAGTTACAACCAATGTTTTTAATGTCAATTGAAGAACAGTTTTTTAGCACATGGTTTTCACTGAAGCTTTCCACTATCCTTTGACCTCCATTTTTTGAGGTTATGTTAATGATTTTATTCAATTTTCAGTCTGCCAACAATGCTACCAACAGACTCATAAATATATTGCCTCTGTGATATTTCTTTGGAAAGCTGTGCAAACCATATTTTAAATCAATCATTTGTTGTAAATGTGCGTAATATCTCTGAAATTCTGCTGCACGCTATGTAGGTGTCTAAACTTTGACTGTGTTTTCTGTTAATAAAAATTCTGAACATTCTAAGGCAATTGTTACTTTTTCTTGTTGGTATGTATAAACAAATGTTGAACAAAATACTAATTTTGTTATAGTTGTTCATTCCAATTGTAGTTAAATACATTTTAGTCATCGGATTTTATTTTTATCATGCGATGGATTTTTTCTCACGATATCACAAAAATTGCCTTTGATTCTGCGTTATGTTTTCTGTACAGTTTCTTTAAATTTTATTTTTACTTTAAATTTTCATACTTGCGTATACTTCGGTTTAGTTTGTTTCATTCTAGTTTTAATATTTAATATTTTTGTTAATAATTAATCACTTAAATTACATATTTATTTCACGAAAGTTTACTCACGCAATATACTTGTGCTAAATGGAGTGATGGAATAATTACATAAAACGTATAAAAACATAGCGACTTTTTATTACAATGCTGCGAAGATAGACTGCAAAGACAACATTAAGCTACGCAGTTACTTGTACGGATTTTATGGAGTATTTTGTTGCAATTTGTGAAGGAAATTTCTTACTGTGTGGTGTGTGTACGTCTGCCCATGCAGACCAGCTGGTAAATACTGTTTATCGTCTGTCAAGAAAGTACTGGCTTTTCATGTACTATGACAAGGATATCTTTTTAGTTGTCGAAAAGTGAACGAAGACTGTAAATATTTGATTATCATGTTTGCGTGGAGTCGATCTAGATTAGTTTTTATGTTTCAAGATGTTTCAGAGTAGCTATTGCTTTTTGTTTAAAACCTATGGAAAACGAAACATTTTCAGCGCTTTCTAAAGAATATTACGAACTTTTACACGATATAAATCATATGTGCGAGACGTTTCGTTCGCAGGGTATGTTTTTTCTAGGATATTTTTGTAAGATCATTTTACATTTACGTTGCATTTCGAATTTAAATGCATGTCGATTTGTTGTAGAGCGCGGGCTCAGGACCAACGTATGCAGAAATAATGCAAGTACACTGCTCTATGTAATTATAGAATGAGTGTTTTTCACCGCTCTGTTCTTAGCAAATGCGGTGGAGTGTAGTGTTTACCAAGTTGCCATCTTTTGCAGACAAGGTCATCCAAGATACTGCAGGAAATATTCTGGTTATGGGAGGGGGTCTATTGTACAGAAATTGTTTTGGATGGCTTTATCATATATCTTGCGCGCACATTTCGTTATAACATTTGAGTATTCGAGAAATTGTGCAAGCACTATACCAGGTTATGACCTTTGTTTCCTATATTTTCATTCTAACCCTTTGTTTGTTGTTTGCGTTCTTGTTCATTTCACGTTTATTCAAAACCATTTGAAATTTTTTTGCAACATAATTATTGTCCCCAATGCAATTAATGACGTTTGCACATGAATGCAAGTAAAGAAGCGAACTAAAAGATTGTAGTTGGAGAAATAGTCTTAGTTATTCCATTGATGTCTGGAAGTTAAAACCAGTGAAATGACATGCATTTTGACGTCATGCTAATTGACGAAACTTGATTACCTGAACTAAAGAATGTTTCATCTCAACTAGGTATCGTTATAACAGCACGGCTCTTTTAGTCGTCACTGTGTAAAAATCTATAATCGCTGTTCATCGCTGAGGAAATACTGCAGTCACGGCATGTTTACCAAAACATTGAATCACAACCAAACCATTGGTGGTGTGCTACAATATTTCTTACTTCTGAAAATATTTTTTAGTCTCGTTGCAAGTAAAAAGTTTTACATCGTATAGCTAAATATTTTATAAAAAAAGCAAGTAAAAAGTTTTACATCATATAGGTGAATATTTTATACAAAAAAAAAAACACACCAAAAAACAATATGCTTTATGTTACATGTCAAAGACTATTTCATTCTTTAGTGACTTTATGTCAGTCTTGAAGTATGTCATGTGTGGAAGAAATATTTGTATAGCAATGCCTAGTCAAAATTTGTTTTAAGTGACTTGTTCTGGTGGCGATTTTTCCATCTCTTTAGCATTACCACACACGCTTGTTAAGTTGTTTTTTAATGCGCTAGTCACTGATGGGCACTGGGGCTAGGCGAGAATATAGTATTCTATTTACGCAACAGCAGTCTGTTTTTTATGAAGTAAAGCATCTTTAAAGTATTTGTCATTACGTACAATTAATTTTTATTATTTAGGTCCACCAAAAGCGAATGGGGATGTACAAGAACCCGTCAAGGTAATTGTATCAGAAAGAAAATTTCTAGTGGTTGTTGCGTTTGTGGCAAGCTTAGTATTTTATACGTAAAATTGTCTTAATTAAACATGAACAATTGCCCCCCTCCACTGATCTCATTTCACTTGCTTTCACATTTCTGCTCTTCACTTTAAATGTACGTACTGATAGAAAATTCCATTTTTGAACAAAAGAGTAAAGTTTTCCTGGTGTTTTATGAACTAACTAAGACAATATTTTTTTGTATTTTAAAATGCATTACCTGTTACATGACTTCTTAGATAGTTTATCACATGTGCTTTTTTGTTCTTGTGGATCTGGTTATCCAGTGATTAAATCTAAAATGACAGCAATTTTCATTTCCCAAACCACTAAAAGTCGTCCATGTTTTAAATGTGTACGTGATCACCGAACAGCGTTATGTGAAATTCTAAAGTATCGATTACACGAATTTTAAACATTATTTACTCGAAATGTGGTTGCTCAAAAAATTTTTGATATGTCTGAAACAGTTTATTGTTTTTGAAAAATGAAAATTTATGTAGTTGAACACATTGTACTTATCTGTTGTACTCAGACACTTAAATCCATAACACCTGCTAGTCGCGTGGTTGGAAAACGCTCTTTGATTACAAAATTTTTCACACTTGTAGAAAAGAGTAAAAACGAATAGGGAAACATTAATATGTGTTTTGTGAATCCTATGGTGACGATATTGTCGTTTTCTTTCGTAAAATATATAAATAAGTGACTGAATGCAAAGGTTTATAAGCATTACAGCCTAATCCTTTTAAAGTGTATTGACACTCATTCTGCACATTCGTCTCCATAGAGGCGAGAAGCAAGTGTTAAACTGAAGAAATCAAATTTGCGAAATGAAGCAAAAAGCGAAGGATCCTCAACATCAGGTAGCTAATAAAATGTTTATTTTAAGTACAATAAACGTTTGTGTAAATGTTCCTTTTATCTTTTGCGTTTTATAGGACTTGCTGCGGGTGCTGTCGATGAAAATGATTTTATTCGAGCATACACGGATACTCCAACTGTCCAGGTTTGTTTGCATTTGCATTTCTTTACAGTTGATTTGAATTACTTCTGTCTTGGGAAATAAGAAATAAGATATATCTTTGTAAAAACATATCAGTCCAAAACAACTGGTGTCAATTTGCTGTGTCTGCTGCTACTTCATGTCTATCATTGATCTAAAAATGTATAAAAAATATCAATTTTCACAGATTGGTTCGGCCAGAGAGTTGAGTGATGCGTTAACAAAGATTTCCAACGCGTTATCAAGTCCATCAGATGACTGGGAGGAACATGTTGCAGCAGTATGTGTTCACCATATTTACTTTTGCTTACTATGTATATGTATACTAGACAATGTGTATATCTCTTTTGCTATGAAAACGTGTGTGTTAATGTTTGATTTTTTTCATCGTGGTCAAGTAATATTGATTTTATGAATCCATCGTATAGTTAAAAAGAGTCCGTAGTTTGGTGGACGGAGGTTCGCTTGATTTTGACTTTATGACACAATTGAAACCTTTGGAAGGTGCTTTTAATGCGGCTGTAAGTTTTCTTCGTTCTTTTCTTTCAAACACGTGCTTTAAAACTTGAACTTATTATATATACGTATTTTATTTTTTGTCAGGTCAAATCATTGAGATCTGCTGTGGCTAGAGAGGCATGTGTGACATTGAGGTTAGATTATATCATGTGCAGTTAATTTAGTATCCTAACTTTAAGTTCAATCTTCTAGTTTCTATTTTATATTTCAAACTTTGATCCACTTGCTGTTTATTGAAGTCATTTTCTGATGCTGAATATTTTATTTATTTTCACTGCTACGTAAGCATGTTCGCGTTGTCAACATGCCATTAAAATGCATTAATTCAATTTAAATTAGAAATAATGAATTGTAAATTGACAATAACTTTCTTAAACTCACCACCACCCAACAAAAGTTTCTATGTATTCTGGAAATTGAAAATCCTGTTTGCATGAAGTCGTTGAAAAGCAAATTTTTACTTTCTCTTTCACCAAAACGTCTTTCTGCAATGTAGCTATAACTTTACGTGTTTTTTTTTTTAAAACTGTTAATGAACTTGTAAAGCTCCCAAATCATATTTTTTAAAACGTCGTAACTCTAAAGAGAACAAATTTGGGTATCATTTGGTCTTTGTTGCCTCGAAACATACTTTGTCCTTACCTCCGCTTCCCCTTCCCCCAAAAAACGCCACTAACTCTTCGTGGCCTTAGGCGTAATGCAAAATCTATAGATGCGCTAATTCTTTATTCGTATTCATTCAAAACCAAATGCTCAAAAATTTGGCCCTGTTAACATGTGATGGGAGAAGTTAGAATTTTATAATCCTCTTAGGTCAGTTTGATGTGTAAGTTCTTTTGACTACGGTGTACAGTTAGCTTCGGGCATTTCAAGGATTCAGGCTACACAGGATTCCAACTTCAGATACTCACGAAGTATTTTGTTTCATCGCTTTCTTGGTGATAGTGTTTCAAGTAATTTCCCTCAATGCCATCCCTGGGAAATATATCCTGATGAAATGCTTGAACCAACGAAGAAAATTTCTTTAAGTTGAGTTGTATAGCTGCAGTTAATTTATAATGCTCTTTGGTTTCAGCTATCTTGCTACAAAACTTGGCAATAAATTTGGTCCAGTCGTAGACTGTATTCTTCCAACGGTAATTGACCTAAACGCGAACACTGCGACTAAGGTTTGTAGACATCTGTGTCTTTCACTTTTTCTTATATACCTGCATGTTTTTTTTTTATTTTTACCTTTCACATGAGTCAAATACTTATTACAAAAAAAGCTGTTCTACTACATAGTTTTTATTTTTATTCAGGTAATGGCTTCGTCTGGGGATACATGTGCAAAGATAATCATTAAGGTATTTTTTATTGTTTTTGCTTGTACGTATATGGTATACGCAAAGGGCCAGAAACCAAAAGGAAACTGTCTGTTTATTTTAATCTATCAACTATTTTGTCGAATGCTATTTGTCTTGTATCTTACCTATCATTATGAAATATAGCCAGTGTTATATTTTGTAGAACACCCATTATCCCAGACTTATTCTTCACATTACTACTCGAATGGCGTCAAGATCAACACCTGTCCGAATGTAAGTACATTTTGGGAAATGATCTAAATTTGGAATGGTAGGGTCCTGTACTTTGCTCAGATTAGAATCTGCTTTGAAAGAAATCAGCATAACTTTTATTAGATAACTTTTATATTTAACTTATATTAACTTTAAATTATATTTAAAAACACATGATATAACTCACTATTACAGTGTTTCACGTTTTTCATACTTTGCGTGAAACATTGTGTAGTGAATCATTTCAAGTTTTATTGAAATATAATTTCAAAGCTCTATCTGCTCTGATATTGAACACTTTTTATTTTGTATACATACATTTTTATTTGATATTGTAACTTGTATCAACCATTTAGTATAAATGCTATTTATGGCTTTTGCATTTCTAGTCGTTGCGCAGATTATGTTGTGCTACTTTTGGAATATTGGGAACTGCATTATCTAAAATCGTAAGTATAGAGAGCATAGAAAGAATATTCTTTCTTTCCTGCTTTGTGCTTGAGAATCTTTCCAAATTAGAAAACATAATCATATATGCACACAATGCTACATAGAGCATCTTTTTTTCATCTATTTTACTTCTCAGACATGTTGATGAATTAGAGAAGGTTGTTCGAAATGGCTTAAGTGACGCAAGTTCTGATGTCCGTGCAATTATAAGAAAGTATGTATGTCATTGAGTTTTTTTCATTGACTTTTTCAACTTATTTAAAACTTTGAGTCTATACTGACGTATTAGAAAATTTTAATTTGTATTTCAGCATAAAGTATTTCTATTTACTTAAATTACTTTTGCCTATAATTTTCAACGTATTCTTTTACATTGTCCATTTGACCTGTTCATGGTTACGACTATTGGCGAGTTCGTGTTTCTCATGCGATCAGTGAAAATTTATATTTAGTTAATCTCTTTTTTACCGAAGGGCGTTTTGGCAATTTTCGAAATTATTTAAAGACAAGGCAGACAAGTATGTTATTGTAAATTGAATAGTTTTTATTTGCTGTTTTTATTTTGCTTCGTTTGAAATGATTTGTGTTGCAGCCACATACATCAAGCTTCTTTTTTCCATCATTCAGAATGTTCAATGACTTAGACAGAAGCAAACAAAAACTACTTGAAGTTGACAAAAAGTCTTCTGATATTGATCATACAGTTGAAAAATCGACGATTTCTTCTCGCGGTTCAATAAGAACTCGACCGACCAGTGCGACTTCAAGGTATGTTATTCACCTTGATTGGCAGGAACCCTTAACTAGACTTGCACTAAACATAAAACGTAAAACACAATGTTTTGGGAACTAGACTTGCACTAAACTTCAATACGTAAAACACAATGTTTTGGGAACTAGACTTGCACTAAACTTCAATACGTAAAACACAATGTTTTGGGAACTAGACTTGCACTAAACTTCAATACGTAAAACACAATGCCATGTATCTTGTGACTCCGTAGTTAAGTATCGAGTGTCATAAGTATGAGACGTAAAGTGACACACACATGATTTTCCTTCGTGGTATTGGATAATTACACTTTTCACTCTGTTGAAATTCCAATTTGAGAAGAAATTTTCACGTAGAAAAACTTGTGATATGTACTGTATGCACTGTATTTACTTCCTTATGACTTATTTATAGTAAATATTGAGAGAGATTTAGTATTTTGTGTAAGATTGATATGTTTTATTAAGAACGTTTTCTTTTAATGTAACAGCAGTTCTTTGTCTTGTAGAGTAACGAGGACTGATGTAGTCACTAATAATAAACCGACAAGATTAAATTCAAGAGAGGGTATGCTCCTTGTACTAGCTAAGTCAATTAATTTTCAAACAAAAACAATTCTACTGTTTGTATTTTATTATTGTATATGTGATTTTGACTATATTCTATAACTAAAATCAACAGCCTCACCAGGACGTCGAGCGTTACCTGGAAAGAAAAATAACTCTTCAACTCCCAGTCGAATTGTTACTAGATCAGTCAGTAGTGTCGATGCTCGTGCAGCTGAACGAGCGCGCATGCGTCGTAGATCAAGAACAGAAGATGCAGTTAAACCGTCAAACTATGCACCAAGTGATGTTAGACCTAGACCATCACGGTCTTCATCGAAAGTCGTTCATCGAGGATACATGTCACAACGTATGACGAAATTATTTTCGTTATTTTGGTTCTTTTTTCTTAAGTTTCGTGTGTTTGCTTGTACAACTCAGCATTTTAGAAGTCAAGGAGTGGTTTACTGCATTTTTGATCGTTGAATATATATCTTTCAACACATACAGTTGTTGTGCAAAAGAATACTTTAATTAGATCTTCGTTTATCTTTCTGTAGCTGCTAGTCGCTCTACTTCACCTTCACGCCTCCATTTTATGTTTTCACCGAAAGAAAGATCAAACGTATATTCTACTATGGCAAGTCCTTTAAGATCAAAGATACCGACACCAAAGTGAGCATAATTCCTCAAAAATATGTTTACCAGTAATCAATTATTATTATATATAGTTTATTAGAGCATACCTATAGATATGTCGCTGCATGTTTTGTTTTCATGTTTTGCATGTTTTTGTTTGCATGTTTTGCTGTTTTGGTTTCGGAACTAGACTTGCACTAAACATAAAACGTAAAACTCAATGCTTTGGGAGCTAGACTTGCACTAAACATAAAACGTAAAACTCAATGCTTTGGGAACTAGACTTGCACTAAACATAAAACGTAAAACTCAATGCTTTGGGAACTAGACTTGCACTAAACATATAACGTAAAACTCAATGCTTTGGGAACTAGACTTGCACTAAACATAAAACGTAAAACTCAATGCTTTGGGAACTAGACTTGCACTAAACATATAACTTAAAACTCAATGCTTTGAGAACTAGACTTGCACTAAACATAAAACGTAAAACTCGATGCTTTGGGAACTAGACTTGCACTAAACATAAAACGTAAAACTCAATGCTTTGGGAACTAGACTTGCACTAAACATATAACGTAAAACTCAATGCTTTGGGAACTAGACTTGCACTAAACATAAAACGTAAAACTCAATGCTTTGGGAACTAGACTTGCACTAAACATAAAACGTAAAACTCAATGCTTTGGGAACTAGACTTGCACTAAACATATAACGTAAAACTCAATGCTTTGGGAACTAGACTTGCACTAAACATAAAACGTAAAACTCAATGCTTTGGGAACTAGACTTGCACTAAACATAAAACGTAAAACTCAATGCTTTGGGAACTAGACTTGCACTAAACATATAACGTAAAACTCAATGCTTTGGGAACTAGACTTGCACTAAACATAAAACGTAAAACTCAATGCTTTGGGAACTAGACTTGCACTAAACATATAACGTAAAACTCAATGCTTTGGGAACTAGACTTGCACTAAACATAAAACGTAAAACTCAATGCTTTGGGAACTAGACTTGCACTAAACATATAACGTAAAACTCAATGCTTTGGGAACTAGACTTGCACTAAACATAAAACGTAAAACTCGATGCTTTGGGAACTAGACTTGCACTAAACATATAATGTAAAACTCAATGCTTTGGGAACTAGACTTGCACTAAACATAAAACGTAAAACTCAATGCTTTGGGAACTAGACTTGCACTAAACATATAACGTAAAACTCAATGCTTTGGGAACTAGACTTGCACTAAACTTCAGTACGTAAAACACAATGTTTTGGGAACTAGACTTGCACTAAACTTCAATACGTAAATCACAATGCTTTGGGAACTAGACTTGCACTAACCTTCAATACGTAAAACACAATGTTTTGGGAACTAGACTTGCACTAAACTTCGATACGTAAAACACAATGCTTTGGGAACTAGACTTGCACTAAACTTCGATACGTAAAACACAATGCTTTGGGAACTAGACTTGCACTAAACTTCAATACGTAAAACACAATGCTTTGGGAACTAGACTTGCACTAAACATAAAACGTAAACCACAATGCTTTGAGAACTAGACTTGCACTAAACTTCAATACGTAAAACACAATGCTTTGGGAACTAGACTTGCACTAACCTTCAATACGTAAAACACAATGTTTTGCGAACTAGACTTGCACTAAACTTCAATACGTAAAACACAATGTTTTGGGAACTAGACTTGCACTAAACTTCAATACGTAAAACACAATGCTTTGGGAACTAGACTTGCACTAAACTTCAATACGTAAAACACAATGCTTTGGGAACTAGACTTGCACTAAACTTCAATACGTAAAACACAATGTTTTGGGAACTAGACTTGCACTAAACTTCAATACGTAAAACACAATGTTTTGGGAACTAGACTTGCACTAAACTTCAAACACAATGTTTTGGGAACTAGACTTGCACTAAACTTCAATACGTAAAACACAATGCTTTGGGAACTAGACTTGCACTAAACTTCAATACGTAAAACACAATGTTTTGGGAACTAGACTTGCACTAAACTTCAATACGTAAAACACAATGCTTTGGGAACTAGACTTGCACTAACCTTCAATACGTAAAACACAATGTTTTGGGAACTAGACTTGCACTAAACTTCAATACGTAAAACACAATGTTTTGGGAACTAGACTTGCACTAAACTTCAATACGTAAAACACAATGTTTTGGGAACTAGACTTGCACTAAACTTCAATACGTAAAACACAATGTTTTGGGAACTAGACTTGCACTAAACTTCAATACGTAAAACACAATGCTTTGGGAACTAGACTTGCACTAAACTTCAATACGTAAAACACAATGTTTTGGGAACTAGACTTGCACTAACCTTCAATACGTAAAACACAATGCTTTGGGAACTAGACTTGCACTAAACTTCAATACGTAAAACACAATGCCATGTATCTTGTGACTCCGTAGTTAAGTATCGAGTGTCATAAGTATGAGACGTAAAGTGACACACACATGATTTTCCTTCGTGGTATTGGATAATTACACTTTTCACTCTGTTGAAATTCCAATTTGAGAAGAAATTTTCACGTAGAAAACTTGTGATATGTACTGTATGCACTGTATTTACTTCCTTATGACTTATTTATAGTAAATATTGAGAGATTTAGTATTTTGTGTAAGATTGATATGTTTTATTAAGAACGTTTTTCTTTTTAATGTAACAGCAGTTCTTTGTCTTGTAGAGTAACGAGGACTGATGTAGTCACTAATAATAAACCGACAAGATTAATTTCAAGAGAGGGTATGCTCCTTGTACTAGCTAAGTCAATTAATTTTCAAACAAAAACAATTCTACTCTTTGTATTTTATTATTGTATATGTGATTTTGACTATATTTTATAACTAAAATCAACAGCCTCACCAGGACGTCGAGCGTTACCTGGAAAGAAAAATAACTCTTCAACTCCCAGTCGAATGGTTGCTAGATCAGTCAGTATTGTCGATGCTCGTGCAGCTGAACGAGCGCGCATGCGTCGTAGATCAAGAACAGAAGATGCAGTTAAACCGTCAAACTATGCACCAAGTGATGTTAGACCTAGACCATCACTGTCTTCATCGAAAGTCGTTCATCGAGGATACATGTCACAACGTATGACGAAATTATTTTCTCTATTTCGGTTCTTTTTTCTTAAGTTTCGTGTGTTTGCTTGTACAACTCAGCATTTTAGAAGTCAAGGAGTGGTTTACTGCATTTTTGATCATTGAATATATATCTTTCAACACATACAGTTGTTGTGCAAAAGAATACTTTAATTAGATCTTCGTTTATCTTTCTGTAGCTGCTAGTCGCTCTACTTCACCTTCACGCCTCCATTTTATGTTTTCACCGAAAGAAAGATCAAACGTATATTCTACTATGGCAAGTCCTTTAAAGGACACATGCAAGCTAGAAGACAACTTTATTTTATTGTAATGCCTATAGCGTGAAAATAAGACGTACCAAGTTTCAAAGTCGTCCGCGAAATATTTAAAAAGATATTTAGGGTTATAATCGGTAAAAACACGATATTCGATGACCATTGCTAAAACGCCGAGAGATTTTTTAAGTCTGGGAACTGGGAAAGAGTGACGTATTAGCGTAGTAGCATCGTTCTTATATCATTCTACGACTTGCACGCAATTCTTGCACGGCTTTCGGTAGTTTGCTATTACTGTTTTTTATTTAACAAAAATTAGTGGATTCTTCTTCTGAAGAAGCCGATTATGATATTGTCGTCAATAACAATGAGGTACAACCTTACATGTTTGAGCCTTTGGCCAACGCGCAAGGTGGTCATAGTAATGAATACAATTCAATACAATTCTTCGTCATCGGAAAGCGAAGATAAATACATTCACAGAATTGGAAATGTTGAATGGTTAGTTGCATTTTATTGATGCTTCATTGTTTTTCCCAAAGTAGAAAGAATGTTTTTATCTTTTAGGTGCGAGTGTGGCTTTTGTGTGGTCATGAGTACAGGACGGGAAAGTATATGTTGCCAAGAGGTAAACAACACTGATCCTCTGATACATGGCGATATATGGCGACACAAGGAAGAGAGTATGTATACACATGACATGACATTGACCTATGAAGAAAACGAGTAAATATTACCTTAGAAGTGTAATTACGTGTATGTCGACAAGTGTATAATGCCGAAAGTATCTTAGACAAAATTTTGTATCGTTCAGAGCATTACGCTACGGCGTACCGACAGTGGCACGGATTTGCATTGTCATTGTGATTCTTCATTTTCGCTTAACTCATTTGAACATTGAGAGTCTGATCCATGTTGCTATTGCTCATCGTCGACGTGCTTTCTGTATCACACCATACAGCGCTATCCTCAAAATGTTCAATTTCACATAACGTCGTCTGTGTGCTGTGATTTTTTGTTTAAATTAACTCAACCTCCGTACCTTAGCATAAAATTATCGTATTGCTGGATTTTCACAAAAATCAAAACGGCCGAAATGGAAAGTCTATACCTCTACTTATCATATTTGGCACTTTTGTTTGAGTGGTTCTTGACCTTACGTGTTTTTGCGGACGGATTGTTATGGCTGCTTGGCATTTCACATTGCGCTTCTAAGGTACGTTAAGGAATTTTTTATGAGTTAAAATAACAAAGAAAAGATCAAACGGCATTAGTCTGAATTAGTTACCACTGTATATGTTTGTGTTTCGCTGTCTACATATATTTTGACATCATTCATCTTAGACAAACTTCCTTTGAGGTAAAACGCACAAACATTTCGAGCCGATGTCGACACATCGTGGTCGTCGTCTACAAGAAAGTCGTCATGTTCTGCAAGAACGTCGTCAATAATCTAAAATTATAAAATTGTCTTCAATTTGGTAATGCTATATAGCTTAGTTTTTGATAAATGTAAACAAATATTGCTAACTATAACTATAATATTCACCTCTTGCCTTCGTCTCTTCTCAAATGCAGTTCTAACATTTGTTGGCTGCTTCCTTTTTTTTAGATGCTACACTTGTGGGTTCCACAGTGTATTCAAAAATCGTGGGTACAGCATCCTTCTTAAGGCGAAGCCGTCCTGCTGTCCATCCTACTGATTGCATCGCTTCAAAATTTTGCACGAAGCACGAACTCTCGAAATGTTGCGAGCACAATTTTGAGCTCTTTTTTGGCTTCCAAATTTTGCGTCGGATTTTTTCAATCCAAATATCTCGCATGCGCTTGTTTTCTTTTGCTGCGTTTGGTGGTTCTTAGAAGAACCGTTTTTACAATTAAATGCGGCACAATAATCCATATTTTCAATGCTAAATTGTCGTGTTGTTAAGAAGTTACCAATATATTTTGAACGAAGCGCGCAATTGACCGCGTTTAGCGAATGTCAACTATTACGTCACAGCGACATCGGTAGCTGTCGCTAGCTCGTCGGGCACTTTCAATACGTTATCAGTAAAGCATCAACTTTAAACCTCCATATCTTCAAAAATATTTATCCTTTGAGTCTCAAACTTTGGTGAACTATTAGTTGGAGCTATACCTTCATGTAAAGTACAAAAATAACAATCCGAATTTTATGTTGCATGTGTCCTTTAAGATCAAAGATACCGACACCAAAGTGAGCATAATTCCTCAAAAATATGTTTACCAGTAATCAATTATTATTATATATAGTTTAATTGAGCATACCTATAGATATGTCGCTACATGTTTTGTTTTCATATATAGTCCTTTTTTTATGTTCATTCTAGTTCCCGTTCTGCATCACGATGCAACTCACGTGCCAGTAGTCGTGATCCTAGCCCTACACGTGATCGTGGTTTACGTAGTTTCAGTAGCAGTAGCTTACATGGAAGGAAACCATCTCATGGTAAGACTTACTTTCATAACAGTTCTTTGTTCGTTGAAATTATAGAATGTATCTCGCGCTAATAAAACAGTTTGTCCTCTAAGATTGTTTGGTTTTTTTGCCTTTAATTATTGAATGTTGTAATTGTATTTTGATGACCGTAATTATTTCAAAGTAGCTAGTCACTATATGCGTTCTTACCTTATTCTGTCCGAGGTCACAACTGCTTACTCGGACAGAATAACCTTGATTGCTATATAACTTAGCAATCGATGAATATTAACGAATATATTATTGATGACATATTAACCTTGATTGCTATGTAACTTAATTTAACTTTTTTTTTCAAGTACTCTGCTTATCATCTGGTTCAATTTCATGTTTTTAATAATTTTTTTGGTTGGAAGGGAGGGGAGGTGATTGAGAAAATTACTGACTTGGTTGATTAACTACTTTACATTTGCATAATGATGTATCCGTCTTATACAGTGAGGAGACTGGATGCGAAGGATTTTACCGAAGCTGCTTTTTGGGATGCTTTGGTAAGAATAACATTTCACATAGAGAGGTGGATAACTGTAGTTAAAAATATTCCTGATCAATTATCAAACAACAAATTTAATTAATTTAACTGATAATTTGGTAAACTTCGCCATGTTTTTTTTTGCTATTATTATAAATATATAATTCTTTCTTTTGCAGTCGAAAAGTCCACGACCGCGAAATTACTCGTTTAATTCAACATGTTCTGAAGAACAAGATGAAGGCAGTGATACATCTAGTGTACACTCAGATAGATCATCTTCTGTTATGACAACTCTGGTTGGTTTTTCTTTCTTTGTACTCTCATTGTATATACTACACATCTTTTGTTGTATGTCTGGTGAAATCAACTGTTTTTACTACTTCAAATGATATACATCATTTGCCTTGGGGCGGATTAATGCTCGTTTGACAGGAGGGGTGTGCATCATTCTCCTAGCTAATGGTGCGGGGGGCTTGGGCTATTGGAGATTTGTAGACTAACAAATGAGTTAACCTTGCGAATTGGAAGCGTTATTAGCTTTTAAGCATTTTTGATAGAATTAAGTAAATTCTAAATCTTAGTTGTATAGTTGTGTAATACTTCCTCAAATAATCAACAAAGCTCATAAATTATGTATCCAAATATTGCCAACGACGAGTGAAACACGAATACAACAGTTGCTTTTATACATGACAAACAAGAAAATAAAGTACAAACTGAGTTGACTTGGCAAAGTAACAGGATACATCACATTTAGTAATTTTTATTTCAATTTTAATGTTTCAATGAAAATATTCATGCACGGCATGTAATTGCCTTTGAAATGATAAGTTCCACTCTTTACACAGTCTTACTGTACAATTTCTTAGCTTCTAATACTGTTATAATAGTCTACAGTATGTATTACCATTTTAGAATTTTTCTTAGGGAGTTCGTAACTTCCTGCACCCCCCACCACCTTGGAAATTCGCCCCTAATATACATTTTACATTGACTAACTTTCAACACTCTACTATACATTACTTAAGCCGGCTAATAACATTTGCACTTTGACACGTATGTAGATTATTTACATACTTGAACACGTGGTAATTATAGCTACCTTTCACTTGCTTTGTGTGCTCTTCATATAGCTGAACGCAACTCAAAGTAGATATGAAAACAGAATTTCGTCATTGCTGGGATATATTTCGTAGAGAAGTGCGTATTTACTTTTAATGTTAATTTTTCAATTGTGCAGGAAATCTCCGAAATTACTCGTTTGTGCCAAAGCAAGAGTTGGTCTGGATGTGATGCTCTCACTGCTATTCAAGCTTACCTTCGAACTTCACGTACTCACACTCATACGGAAATCGTAGTCTGTGTTGAATGTTTCCATCGGTTTTTCTACGATCCTCATAATAAAGTAAGAATAATCCATATGTAGTTTAAATACAAGTAACACTAGTTAAATCTTTACTCATAAAGTTTCAAGTTTCATAAATAAATGGTTTCTTGTGTAATTTATTTCTAGGTCTATAGTGCATTCCTGGACCCCCTTACGGATTTCATGGTTATACATAAAGCTGACCTTAACGAATGGTTATTTATTTTGCTGACACGATTACTTGGTAAACTGGGTGGTAACTTACTTGCTTCTGTACATTCCAAAGTTGTTAGAGTCTTGGATGTTGACAGGTAGAACTTTATATAAGAAATTCTAAAAATGTATAACAATCTTCCGTCAAGTTTTTCCTTTTTTCAGTTGTACCATAATACAACTACATTTTCTTTTTACAGAGATTCGTTTCCGTTGTACGTTCAATTTTCAGTAATGACGAAATATATTTCTATGTCAGAAATACCAAATCCAAAGGTAAAGTATTCTGTTGTACAAAACATTTTGTCAAGAGCCTCATTTGGTCGTAAACATAGTTCTGGATAAATAAAAGACTCAGATGACTGATTTTTTCTGCTATCCAATTACTGTCATACTTTTATTGTGTTCAATTTAGTGTGATTTAATCCCAGTCTGTCAAAATCTTGTACACAAATAGTGTGTATTCATCGTCATAATAATTTCGGTTGGTTGTTACTATGTTTATTATATGGCCTGCATCACTTCCGGTGAAAAAGCGGAATTTTATTGGCTTAGTTCCAAACCTTTTTAAAACTAGCAGCTAAACTACAAATGTCTCATGCCCATATTTTAAACTTTTTATTAACTTCGCTTGCATGGTCTTTACTGAGAAATATCGGTCCCTTAAGTACACACCTTCCTACTTGCTTGATCTTTACAATAATAACTTGGTCAAATATTTTTCAGTAAAGGCTTCGCTCTTTCTTAATAAAACTTTATATTCAATCTTTTTCAGACCAGAGTTGCCATCTTAATTTATTTGCAAGGGCTCATTGTACGGTTGGATGCTGCAGACTTTATCAATTCATCGGGTATCCTTTTTCTTTTACCCTCTATACTTTCTCATGTTGGGGCTTATAATGACTATAATATGCAACAATTACCATACAATTGTTATTTTAGTACTAATAGCTTTTAAAAAATTTCTGGTTCTCTTTGGAAAATCATTGTAGATGGTCACAATGTAGAAAACTTGACGTACACACGTGACCTGTAAAAATGTTTAGTTTCATTTAACTGTACGTAGAGACGAGGCTGACCGCATCACGATTAATCGAGTGGAATTCGGACCCGAAAAGCGGCGAGGTTCGAAAGGTTTGTATTGATGTCAACATTTGAAACATTAATATGTAGTATTACACACTTTAAATCAATGTGTCGTTTATGAAAGTTTATGAGCAATCTTACGTTAAATAAGAAATTTACTTTTCGTCGATTGCGCATCTACGATTGTGCTACTGAATCATTATATTTTTACGATATTTCAGCTGTTTTTTGTTTCGAAATTTAAATTATCCAGTTGTTTGTTTTTATTCTTTTACAGGAATCTGCGAATGTCGTGATTGCGTTATTTGAATTGAATACTCCAATATTCAGTAGCATGTTGCCTGAGTTTTCAAAAACACTTCACGTAAGTTATTTCGTGCAACATTAGCAAATCTCATATTTTGTATTATAAAGTTTGAGTGACACCTTTATTCATAATGGGTTTTTTTCACATGCAGGAGACCGCCAAAAAACTTATCCTTAATCACTTGAAGAAAGTTGACAATGATCCTAGGGCGTACACTTCAAAGTCCGATGTATCAAACGCAAAACCGCCATCCTCTCCTGGTCGCCTTGGTTACCGTAGTATTCCTCTCGCAGCGCCAAGACATTCGAGCAATGGCGATGATCCGGTTGCATCTGTAGATGTTGTTTCCAATGAACTTTCCCCGTTACAACGAGAGGATAGTGCAACATCTCTACGCTCGAATGAAAGCTCTGAATCCTTAGAAGGAAAGAAAGCATGTGGAAACCCCCCGGAAAATTCACCGAGTATTACGTCATCTGGTTATCATAGTGATGAGATCCATACAAATGATACAGTAATTAATAACAGCTCACGTCATGTGTTACATTCAGAACCGAAATTACCCATAAGTCCCTCCTTCTCTGTCTCTAAAAATACTGAGTACGATGCTTCTCGCTATCAAGATGAAACATCTCGTGTTTCGACCGTAAGTAGTAAATAAAAGTGTCCATTGAAGCTGGTGCTAGTTGTCAAGTTATTTAATTTTGCAGGATACAAGTGTAAATGGTGTTGATACCATACAAGATAATGTGACAGTATCCCTATCGAATGAATCGTCTGATACATTTAATAAAGGTTACAATCTTATTTTACTATAACATTGTATTGTTTTCACTTCTAAACACTGACTGTTTTAAAGAAATTGAGATTCTAAACTAGAAGTGTATTACTATTTTTATTATTGATGCTAATATCATACGTACTTAACATGTTAAGGTGTGCAAAATTTCGTATTATAAAACATAAACTTGAAACTGAACATCGAAAATGTTTCTAAAGTGAATGGTTCTTGCGAAAACATTGGAACAAAGAAAACTTTCCTCTTTGAACTAAAGGGAAATGTTTGTATGTATGGCAGAAGATATATATCTGTCAACTAAAAATATAATTCCTAGTGTCCTTGTAATTTGCTTAATTCTTACACAAATGTTAGGAAATAAAGTAAATGGTTTGAACCCGGGAGTATCGTTACATGTTTGTAAATGATGATCGTCCAGGTTAATAAAGTCCTGAGAAGGACTGTTTTTGTTGTTGTTGACTGACGTTTCGACAACCTTAGCGGTAGTCATCTTATGACTCGAAACGTCAGTCAACAACAACAAAAACAGTCCTTCTCAGGACTTTATTAACCTGGACGATCATCATTTACAAACATGAAAATGTTTATTTAAGTTAATTTTCATTTCATGATATATTTAATAGCTATTCATATGATATGAATAAATATATAGGTAATATTATTTTTATATTTTAAATCATTACCAGCTGTACCAGAGAACGTTAAAATACACATGCGTGTCTTATTTTAGAGAAACTTTTCCAAGAGTCTACTTTTTTGATACACCTGGAATATAGTTCGTTGGTTGTTGGCGTCTTAGTGTTTTTTTTTTGACGCAACAGTTGACGCTTTTTTCTGAATTTATTATGCATCTCCATAGAAAAACTTTTAAATCATCTTATTTTTGGGATTAATAGGTGAACAACACTTGAATAAAATCGTGTACGTGTATTACATAAATACTTTAGATAATAAATGAGCTCTAATTTTTCTAAGACATATCGCAAATTTTATTTTCTAATCTATTTATTTTGGAATATTTTTAATGCAATTATGAAAGAATGAGTGTATGATCTATGAAGTAGAACATATATTTAGTATTTAATCTATTGTTGTATTTTCTCATGCTCTGTCATTAGGCTGCGACTACAGATATTTTTCATACGTCAATTTTTACGTGAGAAAGTGAATCTCATTTCATTTGGTTATAAACTATACATCTATGTTGCAACTAGCATTCAAGTTATTGTTTTTGGAAATTCAACGTAAAGTGTAACAGTGAAATCTGCACAATAATATCATCAGGCATTAAATATTTCACTAATGGCTGATTTCTAAAGGACATGACATAAGCATCCGCATAAACGTAAACTTAAAAAATATTTAACTCAAATAAGAACAAATGAAGAATTGAATAAAAATTCCACGATGTCTTTGTTTTTGTAAACATTTTAGTAAGAGAAACTAAAGTCTTTTTGCTCATGTTCATTCCACTGTTGCAAAAACATGCATAAACGTTTTAGCACGCTGCCTTACCCTACACTTTTATTCCATCAAAATCGCCATTTTCCATTCATTGATATACCGTGTAAAAACTTTAAGAAATAATAGATAACTTCAACTTCAACTTTAACTTCAACTTTAATAATTGTGAAGTTCAAAGTAGTTATAAATGTCTTATTTCACGACTCGGAAATTTCTTATTTGGACTTCTTACGTGATATGACGCGCATAATATAAAATCTGTTCTTTTTATAATACAATGATATTAAAGAAAAATATTTCCACTCAAAGATCAGGCACAAAAATAGAAAATTTACTATAATATACATATACAAGGAAGTTTCTTTAGGAAAATAATAAAATCCACAAAGAAAAAAAATGCAGAAGATTTACGTAGCTATATATTGTGAGTAAAATCATCTGGTCCAGCAACAAACATTCTGTCAACTGGCCAAATGTAAGACTCGCCAGGTCTTACGACATCTTCGTCGAATGGACCAGGAAATGGTGGAGCAACTGTTTTCCCCGGTACCACACTAGTAAAAAAGACAGCTAGGTAGCCGGGAGTCACGGGCCGATTATGCACCTTCGACATTCCTGAGACACATCCAAAACCACACACTACACCATTCTCGTTGGCCAATGCTACAACAGTTCCTAAGTGTACATGAAACAATTTAAATTCAAGACATAGCCATTTGCTTCGTTGATCACTCTTTATGACAGAAGAAATATTGCTACGCATCATCGGCATGTACGTAACTGCCAAAGAGCCAAATCAAGTTTTAACATTTTAAAGCTGAAAGTAGTCATGTGTGTTTGGACATGCTTACTGTTGTGAAATGTGTTCCATGTTGATGACAAAATTAATCAACAAAAGATCGAACTTGTTTTGCGACAACCTAAAAACTTCTAAGAAACTAAAAAATCAACCATTTTAATGCTAATACCTATGTACACTATTCCTGACCTGTGCTAAAAGTTGCTGTAGGGACAGATGGGGCAGTCGTTTTAGATATGGTAGACACAGATGTTGTAGCGACGAAGGAGCTTAAAGAAGAGGAAGAAGAGGTTGAAACAGATGAAGAATTGCCGATCAAGGTACATCCACTGGAAGAGGCCAGAGTGGGATTAGTGCTAAAAGAATCAGTGACGACATTTGTATTGGTATTTGTAGCGGCAGAGAGGAAGGAAGATTCGAAAGTTGCGGAAATCGTATTAAAATGAAGATCTTTGCGTATAGGATTGAATGTTGAAGCAGCGCTACTAACTGGAAGAGAGGTTGTAACAGAGCTACAAAGAGTTATAGATGAAGATGCTGAAAAAGAAGGAGAAACAGAAAACGACACGGAAGGGGAAGTAGAGGCAGGGATAGTATTCGTAGATGAAAGATCTGTAGATTGACTATCTTCATTTCTATCTTGCCATAACTTCTTCATCCCGGTTTGAAACACGTTTCTGGCTGATTTTCCAATTACACCACTGCTGCTAATAAAATCTGTCGCCAAGCCAGGAGTTGCAGCAGAATCCCAGACGGTTGGACCTCCAGTGGTTGATGGGTGATAATACATTACCACCACATGATAACCGTGGTTCTGTTGAAGAGTCTGAGCCTACAAAAAAAGTCCAATTCCGAAACCAATCAAATTATACATTGATATTTTAACATCTGCTCCAATACCCTAAGATACATTAAAGAACACATATCTAACCCTTTTCATCAGCAGCATTTTCTGTCTTGTCGTGGTCGAATATTGTGGTATTGACACGGAAGAAGGCCTCTTTGGAATGAGCTGTCCACAGTTGGAGCATCGCTTACATGCATTGCCCACCGCAGTAGAGCAATTACTACATATTTTCTTTCGAGAGGTTGTCTAAAAAATTTTTAGTCCTCTATAACATAGAAGTGCACCACCAATTTGGTAAAAATTATTTTTTCCAGAAAATTACTGTACAAACCTTTCAGGCAATTGGATGTATTTTATAGGAAGCAATAATTGCATTTATACACGAATAATACAAAAAGTAATACTACAGTATGCAAGAAGTGATCTGGTTTGCTGCGGGATACTTTAACATCGTACGGCAAATGACTAGACGGAATGTGAGCGTCATTACCAATATGCAATGCGAATATTCAAATCTCTTAAATTTATGCATTTTCGCAACTCATAAAACATTATTTATTGTAAACTCAAACGAAATATTAATTGGACTAAGACTTTTTATCCACGTTAGAATGATATGAAATTTGAAGAATACAGAAACAAGCATGCAGCGGGTGTATGTTGGACGTTGACTTACAAACATTATGAAACGCTTCTGTACAGATATTGAGATTCGACTAATTTTTACATCATTCAAAATCGAAAACCTTTTCTCATTCAAAGACCCAATCCCTGATTCAATTAAATGTATGGTGGTATATGAATTCAATTGCGCGGGATGTAATTCCCGAAACATTGGTGAAACTTCGCGCCATTTATCCACCAGAATCAGCGAACATATCACAAGAGACAAAACCTATCATATCTACCGACACCTTCTTAAATCTCACTCATGTAAAACCAACTATTCACTTTCTTGCTTCAAAATCATCGACACTGCCTACACCTCATTCACCCTTAAAATCAAAGAAGCACTACACATTAAAAAAACTAACCCTGACCTCAATGTTCAACTTTTTAAATTCAATACAATATTTTTTTCATAATACGCTCGGACGCTCCCCATTAATTCATCTTATTTCCTTTTTATTGTTGTAATTTATTTATCATATTACTTTTATACAAACCTTGCATCACTTATTATTTCACTCATGCTGAAGATGGCATCATGAGATGTCGAAACATGTCTATTTTCAAAAAACTTGTCGTCGTTTATATTAAATGTAAATTAGCAATAGTGCTTTTACGAAATTATACCAAGGTCTTACTATGTTTGCAGAATTAATTTAGACAGTGCTTCACACACTGTCAACGATAGCGTCAATTAAATGTTTTTGTGAATACTTTGTGGTGATTTTGATTATTTCAAGCTCAAAATTCGGGATTGTTAGCTATACTACCAGCACAGAGGACGGGCAAAGTCGTACTACTTGTAATACGACTGTTGAATTTAAATAGTTGAATTTTAATTAGGTAAATACGTTGTCAATTCGTCTTACTGAAGCAATAGAAATTGTTGCAACAATGGTACTACAATCGTATTTTTATAAGTAATACAAGTTAGGCACAAGAAAAAGACTCGTGGCAAAGGAAGAATGTGGAAAACAAAGGTTAACATGCAGTAACATGGGTCACAAACCTTTGCAACATCGTCAGTTCCAATCTGTTCTTCGAAATCGACGAGTATCGCTTTGAATATTTCACTATCACGTCGCTCGGTCCCAGCCTTATCACGCGCGCGGCACATTGGACATGAAACCTGTGTAAGTGACGGTGAATTGAAATGAAATAAGTAAATGACACGAAACAGATAGAAATATGAAAATTATTACAATGATCTCAAAAACGTTTTGACGCCTCACAATTTTTGTGGTTCAGACCACGCATCTCAGAGATGGATTCTGGATGATTTCGTAGAAAAGGTACTCTGGTTTGACAATTCTGTTTTTTTACAAGTGAATTCGATGGTTCGCTTCATTTACGAGGAAATCAGACAGGCTAACAAGATAAACTGAACTAGAAAATGGTGGAAAAAGGTTCATTTAATGTAAGCGACGAGGTTTTGAAAATAGACATGTTTCGACACGTCATGATGCCATCTTTAGTATGAGTGAAGAATTACATAAATAACACAAAGTTTATACAAATGTAAAACGATACAGTAACATAAATATATAAATATGGATAACTTATAACAATAATAAGGAAATGAGATAAATTAATGGGG